CTATGCTTCAAACAAGGTGAAGATTACAAAAGTGAGCAAATTTACCAGATGTTGATCAATGAAATTATTAGTATTTTAGTAAATTCGCTCACTTGTGTAATTTTCACCTCGTTTCAAAATACACAATTGACACCCCTGAAGCGTCGAAGTGCTCTTTTTCTATAGCATGTGACATATACTATAATATAAGAGCTCCGACTCCTCAGATTTATCAAACGCAGTTAAAAGTACCGCAAACTCGTATCCATTTTGACGCGGCCATTTTAAATTAATGGATTTGTATATACGTACTTTATTTGGGAAAATGAATCCGTCAAGTATATAAATCAATATTTTTAAATTGTAATTAATTAATTTATGACCAAAAGAATATATACGAATGTTTAATTTATGTGTTTTTTTATTTTAATACGGATTTATTTGCTGTAGAAGTTTAATGCATAAAACTGCACAAAAGATACTGGTTTTGCATTAATATCATCGAATGTTAACTTTACACCTTCAATCTATTCAACCTCTTCTCGAAATTAACACTTGAAAATCACGGTCTCGAAAAGCACGGTTAGGTTAGCGACACTCAACTGTACCCAATGTGTACTTGAAATCGTGTACTATGTGCACTTCGGCCATTTTGACATATCATTTATGGAAATCAATTACTTTATAGATCTAGGGCCGATTTCACCAACGACGATCAAGCTTAATCGTGATTAACTGTCAACCACAACCGCAGTCGATTCTATTAAATATGATTGGTCAATCAACGGCCAATTAAGCTAATTGGTGTTGATGAAACTGGCCCCTAGTGATTTTAATACGATGCACGTCAGATCCAGCGTGAATCCAGCAATTGTCGGAAAACGAGTGCATAGAAACTGCATACTCTGAATACAAAGCACAATATAACCAGCAAGGACACTCCATGTTGGCTTTGACTTCCGCGCATCCGCCATGTTAACGTTAGAAAAATCCAGGACCGAAAGAGAATATAATGCCGCATATGCGAAAGTCCATTGCTTTGCTCTAAAAAATTTAATTAAGGATGCCGTGTAAACGTAGTCAAAATGTAAAAATATCTTTCTTCATAAAATTACATTTGATTATGTTTAATTAAGTTAACCTAGCATAAACTACTTTTTGTAAATTATAAAACTTATGGTATCTTTGGGATAATGAAAAAAAGTGCATTGTGAATTTTTACTATTATTACTGCATTGTTTTAATTACTGCTCGTAACATAGCTTTTCTTTTTTTTATTCATTTTTTAGAAATATTTATGGCGTAGCTCTTAAATTGTCTTCTTTTGCCACAGATATCTGCTCACATGGGATCTGTGTAAACGTTCTTCTCATCTTGCATTTCATTGGAACCGGCCCAAAAAAAAGCTGCGCAACCATACCTGCGCGAATACACATTTTTTCGCTGAGTGTCTCTACTGTACAAAGTATTACAAAGTCGATTCAAATCGTCTCGTGTCGCAATTCTGAGTATCAATCATGAAACTTTAATCCTAGGATAGAAAGTGAAAAGTGAAAATTTTTACCATTGAAGTTGATGGAGAAATTGTTCACTTTCTATTCTAAGGATAAAGTTTCATGATTGATATCCTGATTGCCCATTTCCATCAACGTAGATTAATTTTAACCTCGGTTCAACTTACTCTTCATCTTTTTCTAATTCTAAAGATTAGAAAAAGACAAAGAGTAAGTTGAAGAGATTAAAGTTAATCTACGTTGGTGCAAATGAGCATTATGACACTGGAGCAGTCCAAATATGACGTAGAACTAATGGTAGGGATCCGATCTGGGGATTCGAGTCTCTTTATATATAGGACTTTAGCTCCCGTCTATCGTACATAATTAATATAATCAGCATTAAAATAGATGATCACTTGTGTGAGAGCACTATAAAATTAATTCCTGAATTTAGGAAGAAATGTTTCTATTTTTTTATGATAATTTTATCGTATTCTTAAATATGCTAATCAATATTATTTTTTAGTAATAAAACTAGATAAATTAATTTATTTCTCCGAAATTTCATTGAAATTTCATTAAAAAATGTTTGAAAACTTAAAAGCATTTTCGCGAAATTTCAACGAATTTTTTCACTAGAGAAGTTAAGCAAAAAATAGCAATTAAAAATAGAACTGAAGTATGGAAATTAAAATATTTCTGATATTGGGAAAAAGTTCGTGGCGTTTTTCTTGCTAGATGGCATTAAATGCTCAGTCGGCAACTACTAATCGCATCGGCAACACTAGACGTGCGTTTAAAAAGTGACATTTTAACCTTTGTTTTGAGCCAAAAAAGATTGGTGAAGTGGATCAAAAGTTATTTTATTTTGAAAATGGAAATAAATAAGGAAAAAATTCGCTACATTTTGCAGTATCATTATGATAAGGGCAAGAATGTAGGCTTGTGAAAAAATTTGCGCTATTTACGGTGAAGATACTCTATCAAAATCAGCAGCATGGAAATGCTCGCTTTCGTGCTGGAAATTTCGATGTGAAAGATGAACTTCGCTTCGGTCCAATCCAATCTGAAAAGTCTGATGAAATCATGGTAAAAGTCGAGCGTGATAAGCATGTGAGCACTGTGGAGATTGCCAGGGAATTAGACATCGACCACAAAACAGTTTTAAATCATTTACACAAAGCTGGATACAAAAAGAAGCTCGATGTTTGGGTTCCTCACAAGTTGAGTGTTAGGAACATGATGGACCGAATTAACATTTGTGATACGCTACTGCAACGGAATGAAATTGAGCCATTTCTGAAGAGAATGATAACTGGTGATGAAAAATGGATCACTTACGACAATCCAATTAGAAAAAGATTGTGGATAAAGAAAGGAGAGAAGGCGCAAGCAATCGCAAAACCTGGATTGACGAGGCAAAAGGTAATGTGTGTGTGGGAACTGGAAGGGAATCGTTCACTATGAGCTGTTATCGTCCAATCAAACAATTAATTACGAACTCTACTGTGAACAACTGCAGAGATTACAACAAGCAATTGAGAGGAAGCAGCCAGAATTAATCAATAGGAGAGATGAATGAATTAATCAATAGGATCGTCTTCCATCACGACAACACTCGACCACACACATCTTTGATGACTTGACAAATTGCGAGAGCTTGGCTGGGAAGTTTTAATGCATCCACCGTATAGTCCTGACATAGCATTCTCAGACTATTATTTGTTTAGGTCTCTGCAGAACTCTCTTAATGGTGTAAAGCTAGCTTCAAAAGAGGCTTGTGAAAATCACTTGAAGCAGTTTTTCGATCAGAAGTTCTATCGCGATGGAATTATGGCTGTGACAAAATATTATAGAAAATAATGGAGCATATTTGATTTAAATAAATTGATTTCAATACTCTAAGAAAAACACTTTAATTTTACTAAAAAATCGCCACGAACTTTTTCCCATACCCAATATAATTTCAAAAATCGATTGTGTAACAAATTATTATAAACATTATTGAATATTAACTATAGAGAGAAACTATATACGCCAATGGATTTTGCAGGAAAATTAAATTACGAAAAAAACATAATTTTTACTTTTTCACATTTACTGATATCAAATTAAAAGAATAAAAGTATTATAAACGTAATTT